GGAGGACACGCAATGTCTTTGACCGTGAGGCGAGCGGTCTACGTTAGATCCTCGGACTACTAATCGGTACTATTCGGAGAAATTGCAATTTACCGTGGTCCCGTTACTCGATTGACAGAGATGTCATTTCCGCTGGATCGATCGCAATTTCCTCGCACTCGTGTGCTTCCCTCCGCGGACGGACACGGCGGGGGCTCATGGAAATTTTAATGCGACCCCTAGCTCCGCGTGCCAACCGACGACTCGGTCTCTGGACGGGCGTTCATCTACAGGTGTGTTGCCAGCTTTAGTCGTCGTTGTCGCATGACGTGTCATCCTGTCGGGAGAGACAGGGAAACCAGGGACGGAATCAGTGATGGATTTCTTCGATCATCCGGCTTACTCGTTGACCAAGCGGATGATGTCGTTCTTCGGCGTGTGGCCGTTCCAGCCGATATTTGCCCGCAAAATCAGGCAAACGGTGATGATCCTCGGTGCTACGAGTCTATTGATACCGGAGGTAACACGTTTTCTATTCCGTTTCTCGCGGGCGAATGTGTGTGTGCCTGTTTGTCTCTGCAAAAACAACTGTAAATCGTCCACCCTACTGCTTTCGTTCCGTTTTCCAATTACCCTGTCAACCAAACTGCACTGCACTGCATCAATTCGAGTGGTCGTTTTACATGTTGCTCGTGCGACGGTGTAGTGGTTGCCGGGAAAGGTGCTCCAGTAGTTTCTGTTCTGTCCATGCTGCGACACCTTGCTCAATGTGTTCGGAGATCATTGATCGGGCAGCTGAAAGTCTCGAAGCGTCGGAGAAAAGTTATATTTAAATGCGCAGTAAGAACCCGCGACGCGTTCAACCGCGTTCTCATTGTCGGTAGAACTTATTCGGTGAGTCTCTGTACGCTAGATTCGGCCAGAGAATGCGTAGATTCCGCGAGCAGGGTTAATATACTCGTAAGGATCAGGTGAAAATCGACTAGCGTCGAGGGGACAACAAACGGATTTATTGGATACTCAAATATAGTTCCTACATACCCGGCACACTCCGTACAACTATACCAGCTCCTCATCCTACGTTACCTATACCGCCGATAACAATACCGTGAGATACGAGGCCGACAGACGTATCACCTGCAAAGGGAAACTGCGCGTCAAGTGTATTCCCAACAACAGTGGATCGCCAACGAATTCTAATGATATAACGGGAAGGAGGCCGTTCACGTGAATACTGGTATCAAGAAGTCGACACTCTTACTCACCGCTTGAAAGGTTTGCATGTCCAACACCATCAATTTCATGGCGACCAACCGGTGAGGCGTGATGGTGTTCATAACGAAGAACTGATAAACGACCTTACCCTTCGCGCAAAAAGTGTACCACACGCACTCCATGCTGGAAGCATAGTTATTCGGTTGATGTTCGATTCTCGAATGATTACGTGTTTCAAGTGATTCCTTACGCATCGTAGTAGACGTTCTCGCTATAGTCCGACAGTCTTTGTCCATTGAAGCAGAGGAAGAATAAATGCATTATCTGGCCTACCAACCAGAGCATCATTCCTAATACAATGTCATAGTTGTTCATGTTCTGCAGTATCTGGAACATTTTAATACACCACTATACTGAAGCTTCGTAGCGTACGCGACACGAGTCGGTTCGATTTCACGTGAACACGCACTTCCACCGCGCTGACGGTCATGCATACGAGAGCGAAGAACACTTGAAAGAACAATGCGGAGGAGAACGTTGACTGGACAAGGTTTACGTATCTGAAGCACAGAATTGCTGTCAATCGAGTTGGCGATCCGCTTCGGATGTTGTTATCTCCCTGCTGAAAATTCTCTCAAAACTGAGTAGTTGCTCTTAGTTGATGTACGAACCGTTAACAGAAATGAAAAGAAATGTACGAAACGCTTGGTAGTTCTAGGGTTAAAGATCCAGTTTTGCACTTACTCCATGGCCGACATGTGCCCCGCGACAACACGTAGAACTTTCCGGAACACGAGGCTCTGTTCTCGCGTCGTGAATCTTCCGACGTTCACGACTTTCCATTGGTCATCGTGGCAGAGGATACTCTCATTCAAGACGTGAGCGGTTTTCAGCTGAAATCTACAAAGGAAACAATCGCAATTATTAAGCGACCGATCCGTCGGTCAACCTGCTCTCTCGTTGAACCCGTTGGCACTGGCAGCTTGACCATTTCAAGCATTTCGGCATTACAGTGTGGCGCGATTCTTGGCTAAATGGTAGAACGATATTCGAATAAGGTATCGAGTAAAGCGCGAATCGGGATTCGAGAGCAAATTTTTCTCGTGCGACGGAAACTCTCGTTATCACGGTTCATTTCGGGTTCACTTCAGACCTGAACCATCAGCCGTCCGCTGTGCGTGCAGAAACGGTGGAAATCACTTACCCTGTGATAGCGAATAGTAGGCAGGAGTGTTGGATGACTACAATGAAGAACGAATCGAGCGCGACGATAACGAACACCGTCAGAGCAGACGCGGCGTAAGCGTGCACCGTGATGTGGTAGTAATATTTTGAATGGTCGATGTTGTACTCCATCGGGTGCAGCAGTTTCGGCTCGGTGATGTTCCCGCGGTTCCTCGCGTCCCTTATGATTTCCGGCAACGGGAGCGACAGGAATAGCAGTATCGCGAGGGTGAGATATCCTGAAACGTGACACGCGGTCAACCATCGGCCGTGTCCCAACAGCCTGCAGGCGATACTTTTCGGCACGAACATACGATCGACGTACCTCCAAAGATACGAACGATCAGTCTTCCCTGCCTATCGTATTTAGCGAGAAGTCGTGACTCCGGCAGGTCCTGGTACTGTTCCTTGTCGCTTTTGATCAACAGGAAAATGCGCTTCACCTACGAACGGTGAATCGGATCGTCGAATCAAGAACGAGAAAACTCTTCTGACAACAACCGACCGGACGAACCCCCTTCTTCTAGAGCGCTACTGGAAGAATGCTAGCAAAGCTAGAAGGTAGATGGTTCCGTAAAGCTTTACCTTTTCCATCTTGCCTATGACGTTCCCATACTTGAGCAACGCGAGGACAACCGTGATCGATGGCGGCAGGGCCTGGACGAATTCGCCGTACTTTTTCTCGTAGAACAACAGCCTCGCCTTGTTCAACTGAAAAATTAACGCGATCAGATTCAGATGCCTCCTGTTGACGCATTTCGTTTCCCTGCGGCAACTCCAGCGAACAAAACCGATTACGTTCCGGCGCAATTCGAAACCGAAATAATTTCTCCCACGGTACTTTGTCGAACGAACGGCGAATGGGAAACGGGAACGGACGCGATTACGCGAAACCTGCGGCACTTGGCGATTGAGACATACTGTAATGCCATACTTTGCGTCTGTTCGAGTTTGAAAAAAACGATGGAAGTATTCGTCAGGCTCCGTCGATACGCGATAATCGCAGGTTTCTAAATGCGTTCTAAATGCGCGATTCCAGTTTCCAATCATATCGTTGATTGTCTCTCGAATGAAAGTCTGCGTAAGACTACTCTTTTCCACGAACGGCTTGTCCTAATCGATTTGCGTCAGGTTGCAATATGTGTCAGTGTTTCCGGCTGTTCTGCATATATCCGAATGAGAGAGCGAACGAGCCCAACTCGAATGCACCCCGTCTACTGCCGGCGTTTGCGAAAGGGTCGCGAAGAGGGAGGTAACTTCTTGCTCTCGGCAGGAAGCGTTCAAGTATATTCGAGTCGCACATTCGAACGCTCCCTGCGCTGCCTACGAGGACCGACGCCTGTCAGGTTGCCGGATATAAGTAAGCCCGCGTGACGTACGAACGATTGGTATACGATTACTAGTAGTTATCAGTAACGATGATAATTGGGGTTTACCGTGCTGTCTGGTCGACGGACGTGTCGTTCCCCGGCTGTCATCATACTTTCCGCTGGATCGATAGCAATTTCGTCGGCGCCGTCAACCCCTCACCGTGCACAGACTGGCGAAACGTTATTAAAGATTGAACCGTGTAACGAGTAGGAGAGCCCACTGTCAGTTTTCGCCGGTATTGCCCGTTAAATCAAGCGCGGTCGCAGGCACGAAACAGAATGGAAGCCAATGGACGGAAAGCTATGGATTTCTTCGACCATCCGGCATACGCGTTAGTCAAGCGCTTAATGTTGTTCTTCGGCGTGTGGCCGTTCCAGCCGGTGTTGACGCGCACCGTTAGGCAAGCGGTGACGATCCTCTGCTTGATTAGTGTAATGATACCGGAGGTAACACGTTTTCCATTCCGTTTCTCGTGGGCGAATGTGCGTTGGAATTGTCTCTGGAAACACAAGTGTAAATCACTGACAAACCTACAGCTTTGCTCCGGTTTTCCTATGACTCTGTCATCCAAACTGCACTGCACTGCCTCTGTTCGTGCGGTCGTTTTACATGTTGTTCGTATGACGGCGTAGTGGTTTTCAGAAAAGGTGCTCCAGTAGTTGCGAGTACTTCTATCGTTTCACCAAAAGTACTTTGGCCTCCAAGAAATTGCATTGCATTCGATAGCTAGAAGGGTCCATGCTGCGACACCTTGCTCATTGTGTTCGGAGATCATTGATCGGGCAGCTGAAAGTCTCGAAGCGCTGCAGCATGGCGGAGTTCCGAACAGCCAGGGAAAAAATTGGGTTCGGAAGACGAAGGAAACACTGTTTGTCCTCCGAAACGTTAAATACGAAGTGATACGTTACCCGTCGGAGAAAAGTTATATTTAAATGCGCAGTAACAACCCGCGACGCGTTCAACCGCGTACTCATTGTTGGTAGAACCTATTCGGTGAGTCCCTGTGCGCTAGATCCGACCAGAGAATGAGTAGATTCCGCGAGAAAGGGTAGTATGCTCGTAAGGATCAGACGAAAGTCGACCACCGTCGTAAGGACAACAAACCGATTTATTGGATACCCAAATATAGTTGCTACATACTCGGCACACTCCGTACAACTATACGAGCTCCTCATCCTACGTTACCTATACCGCCGATAACAACATCGTGAGATACGAGGCCGACAGACGCATCACCTGCAAAGGGAAACAGCGTGTCAAGTGTATTCCCAACGACAGTGGATCGCTAACGAATTCTAATGATATAACGGGAAGGAGGCCGTTCACGTGATTACCGGTATCAAGAAGACGACACTCTTACTCACTGCTTGAAAGGTTTGCATGTCCAACACCATCAATTTCATGGCGACCAACCGGTGAGGCGCGATGGTGTTCATAACGAAGAATTGATAAACGACCTTACTCTTCGCGCAAAAAGTGTACCACACGCACTCCATGCTGGAAGCATAGTTATTCGGATGTTACTCGGTTTTCGAATGATTGCGAGTCTCGAGTGATTCCTTACGCATCGTAGTAGACGTTCTGGCTATAGTCGGATAGTCTCTGTCCATTGAAGCAGAGGAAGAATAAATGAATTACCTGGCCTACCAACCAGAACATCATTCCTAATACAATGTCATAGTTGTTGATGTTCCGCAATATCTGGAACATTTTAATACACTACTATACTGAAGCTTCGTAGCGTACGCGACACGAGTCGGTTCGACCTCACGTGAACACGCACTTGCACCGCGGTGACGGTCATGCATACGAGAGTGAGGAACACTTGAATGAGCAGTGCCGAGGAGAACGTTGACTGGACAAGGTTCACGTATCTGAAGCATAGAATAGCTGTCAATCGAGTTGGCAATCTCTAACTCGATTCCTATGTTTGTATCGACACTAGGACCACCGTACCGGTCGGCACCAAACTGATTCGAATGTTGTTATTTCGCTGCTGAAAATTCTCTCAAAACTTAGTAGTTGCTCTTAGCTAATGTACGAACTATCAGCACCTAGCGTTAAAGGTCCAGTTTTGCACTTACTCCAGGGCCGACATGTGACCCGCGACAGCGCGTTCAACTTTCCGGTACACGAGGCTCTGTTCTCGCGTCGTGAATTTTTCGACGTCCACGACTTTCCATTGGTCATCGTGCCAGAGGGTACTCTGATTCAGGACGTGAGCGGTTTTCAACTGAAATCTACAGGAGGAAACAACTGCAATTATTAACCTGGATCATCAGCCGTCCGCACTGCGTGCAGAAACGATGGAAATCACTTACCCTGTGATAGCGAATAGCAGGCAGCAGTGTTGGATGGCTACAATGAAGAACGAATCGAGCGCGATGATCACGAACACCGTCAGAGCGGACCCGGCGTAAGCGTGCACCGTGATCTGGTAGTAATATTTTGAATGGTCGACGTTGTACTCCATCGGGTGCAGCAGTCTCGGCTCGGTGATGTTCGCGAGGTTCCTCGCGTCCCTTATGATTTCTGGCAACGGGAGCGCCAGGAATACCAGTATCGCGAGGGTGAAGTATCCTGAAACGTGACACGCGGTCAACCGTCGTCAGTGTCCCAACAACCTTCAGAGTATTCTTCAGAGCAAGAAAGAACGATCGATTTGCCTGCGAAAATTTGAACGATCAATCTTCCCTCCGCATCATATTTAGTGAGCACGCGGGACTCCGGCAGGTCCACGTACTGTTCCTTGTCTCTTTTGATCATCAGGAGAATGCGCTTTACCTGCGAACAGTGAAAATCTTCAGACGAAGGCGCCACTGGAAGAATGCTAGCAATGCTAGAGGGTAGAAGCATTACCTTTTCCATCTTGCCTATGACGTTCCCATACTTGATCAACGCAACGATTCCCGTGATTGCTGGCGGTAGGGCCTGGACGAATTCGCCGTACTTTTTCTCGTAGAACAACAGCCCCGCCTTGTTCACCTGAAAAATCAACGTGATCAGCTCCAGAATTTTCCCACATTTCGTTTCCCTGCGGCAACTCCAGCGAACAAAACCGATTACGTTCCGGCGCAATTCGAAACCGAAATAATTTCTTCCACGGTACTTTGTCGATCGAACGGCGAATGGGAAACGGGAACGGACGCGATTTCGCGAAACCCGCGGCACTTGGCGATTGAGACATACTGTAACTTTGCGTCAGTTCGAGTTTGAAAAAAACGATGGAAGTATTCGTCAGGCTCCGTCGATACGCGATAATCGCTGGTTTCTAAATGCGTTCTAAATGCGATTGTCTCTCGACTGAAAGTCTGCGTAAGACTACTCTTTTCCACAAACAGTTTGTCCTAATCGATTTGCGCCAGGTTGCAATGTCTGTCGATGTTTCGAGATGTTGCAGATAGTTTCGAATCAGATAGCGGGAAAGCGATGCCACTGATCCCGCAAAGAATGAGTCAAACTCAAATGCACCCGGTCTAATGTCGGCGTTTCGGAAAGGGTCGCAAAGAGAGAGGTAATTTCTGGAACTCGGCAGCTGGCGTCCAAGTATTTTCGCGTCGCACATTCGAACGCACGCTGCGCTGCCGACGAGAACCCACACCTGTTAAGTTGCCGCGTATAAGTAAGCCCGTGTGGCGTAAGAACGATTGGTATACAATTACTAGTAGTTATCAGTAACGATGATAATTGGGGTTTACCGTGCTGTCTGGTCGACGGACGTGTCGTTCCCCGGCTGTCATCATACTTTCCGCTGGATCGATGGCAATTTCGTCGGCGCCGACAACCCCTCACCGTGCACAGACTGGCGAAACGTTATTAAATATTGAACCGTGTAACGAGTAGGAGAGCCCACTGTCAGTTTTCGCCGGTGTTGCCCGTTAAATCGTGCACTGTGGCCGGCACGAAACCGAATGGAAGCCAATGGAGGAAAAGCTATGGATTACTACGACCATCCGTCCTATGTGTTGGTGAAGCGTTTGATGTTGCTCTTCGGCGTGTGGCCGTTCCAGCCCGTATTGGCCCGCAACGTCAGGCCAACGGTGGCGATCCTGTGCATTACGAGTACGATATTACCGGCGGTAATATTTTCTATTCCGTTTCTCGTGGGCGAATGTGCGTTGGAATTGTCTCTGGAAACACAAGTGTAAATCACTGACAAACCTACAGCTTTGCTCCCGTTCTCTTATTACCCTGTCATGCATACTGCACAACACTGCATCAGTTCGTGTGGTCGTTTTAGATGTTGTTCGTGCGACGGTGTAGTGGTTACCGGGAAAGATGCTCCAGTAGTGGCGAGTACTTGTATCGTTTCACCAAAAGTTCTTTGGCTTCCAAGAAATTGCACTGCATTCGATAGTTGGAAGGGTCCACGCGGCTACACCTCGCTCAATGTGTTCGGAGATCATAGATCGGGCAGCTGAAAGTCTCGAAGCGTCGGAGAAAAGTAATATTTAAATGCGCAGTAAGAACCCGCGACGCGTTCAACCGGGTTCTCATTGTCGGTAGAACCTATTCGGCGAGTCTCTGTGCCCTAGTTCCGACCAGAGAATGAGTAAATTCCGCGAGGAAGGGTAGTATGCTCGTAAGGATCAGACGAAAGTCGACCAGCGTCGTGAGGACTTCAGACCGATTTATTGGATACTCAAATATAGTCCCTACGTACTGGGCACACTCCGTACAACTACATGATGACCTCATCCTACGTTACTTATACCGCCGATAACAACATCGTGAGATACGAGGCCGACATACGCATCACCTAGAAAGGGAAACTGCGTGTCAAGTGTATTTCCAAAAACTGTGAATCGCCAACGAATTCTAATGATATAACGGGAAGGAGGCCGTTCACGTGAATACTGGTATCAAGAAGTCGACACTCTTACTCACCGCTTGAAAGGTTTGCATGTCCAACACCATCAATTTCATGGCAACCAACCGGTGAGGCGAGATGGTGTTCATAACGAAGAATTGATAAACGACCTTACTCTTCGCGCAAAAAGTGTACCACACGCACTCCATGCTGGAAGCATAGTTATTCGGATGTTACTCGGTTTTCGAATGATTACGAGTCTCGAGTGATTCCTTACGCATCGTAGTAGACGTTCTGGCTAGAGTCCGACAGTCTTTGACCATTGAAGCAGAGGAAGAATAAATGCATTACCTGGCCTACCAACCAGAGCATCATTCCTAATACAATGTCGTAGTTGTTGATGTTCCGCAATATCTGGAACATTTTAATACACTACTATAGTGAAGCTTCGTAGCGTACGCGACACGAGTCGGTTCGACCTCACGTGAACACGCACTTGCACCGCGCTGACGGTCATGCATACGAGAGTGAGGAACACTTGAATGAGCAGTGCCGAGGAGAACGTTGACTGGACAAGGTTCACGTATCTGAAGCATAGAATAGCTGTCAATCGAGTTGGCAATCTGTAACTCGATTACTACGTTTGTATCGACACTAGGACCACCGTACCGGTCGGCACCAAACCGATTCGAATGTTGTTATTTCGCTGCTGAAAATTCTCTCAAAACTTAGTAGTTGCTCTTAGCTAATGTACGAACTGTCAGCATCTAGTGTTAAAGATCCAGTTTTACACTTACTCCAGGGCCGACATGTGACCCGCGACAGCGCGTACTACTTTCCGGTACACGAGGCTCTGGTCTCGCGTCGTGAATTTTTCGACGTCCACGACTTTCCATTGGTCATCGTGCCAGAGGGTACTCTCATTCTGGACGTGAGCGGTTTTCAACTGAAATCTACAGAGGAAACAACCACAATTACTAAGCGGCCGATCCGTCGGTCAGCCTGTTCTCTCTGATAGATCGGTTGGCGCTGGCAACTTGATCCTTTCGAGCGTTTTCGACATTACGAGCATTTCTGCGTTACGGTGTGACGCGCTTCTTGCCTAAATGGTAGAATGATATTCGAATAAGGTATCGAGGAAAGCGCGAATCGGGATTCAAGAGCAAACTTTCCTCGGGTCACGGAAAGTCTCGTTATTACGGTACATTTAGATTTCATTTCAGACCTGGATCCTCAGCCGTCCGCACTGCGTGCAGAAACGATGGAAATCACTTACCCTGTGATAGCGAATAGCAGGCAGCAGTGTTGGATGGCTACAATGAAGAACGAATCGAGCGCGATGATGATGAACACCGTCAGAGCAGACGAGGCGTAAGCGTGCGCCGTGATCTGGTAGTAATATTTTGAATGGTCGACGTTGTACTCCACCGGGTGCAGCAGTTTCGGCTCGGTGATGTTCCCGAGGTTCCTAGCGTCCCTTATGATTTCTGGCAACGGGAGCGCCAGGAATACCACTATCGCGAGGGTGAAGTATCCTGAAACGTGACACGCGGTCAACCGTCGTCAGTGTCCCAACAACCTTCAGAGTATTCTTCCGAGCAAGAAAGAACGATCGATTTGCCTGCGAAGATTTGAACGATCAATCTTCCCTCCGCATCATATTTGGTGAGCACGCGGGACTCCGGCAGGTCCTCGTACTGTTCCTTGTCCCTTTTGATCAATAGGAGAATGCGCTTTACCTGCGAACAGTGAAAATCTTCAGACGAAGGCGCCACTGGAAGAATGCTAGCAATGCTAGAAGGTAGAAGCATTACCTTTTCCATCTTGCCTATGACGTTCCCATACTTGATCAACGCGACGATTCCCGTGATTGCTGGCGGTAGGGCCTGGACGAATTCGCCGTACTTTTTCTCGTAGAACAACAGCCTCGCCTTGTTCACCTGAAAAATCAACGTGATCAGCTTTAGAATTATCCCACATTTCGTTTCACTGCGGCAACTCCAGCGAACAAAACCGATTACGTTCCGGCGCAATTCGAAACCGAAATAATTTCTCCCACGGTACTTTGTCGAACGAACGGCGAATGGGAAACGGGAACGGACGCGATTACGCGAAACCTGCGGCACTTGGCGATTGAGA